CAAGGTCACCTAGATTTTCTGCTGTTATATTCTGGGAATTTTATAGTTTTGCCTTTTATATTTAGGTATATGAGCCATTTTGAGTGAACTTTTGTGAAAGTTGTAAGGTCAGTGTCTAAATGCTTTTTTTTTTCCTGCATATGTATATCTCTGTTGTTCCAGCCCCATTTGTTGAAAAGATCATCCTTATTTACTTCTGACTTTTTTTTTTGTCTTTTATATAACAATGATTTTATAGTATCTTTTTTTTATAGAGAGAATAGAAAGATGATTTGGTCTTTCCTCTAGCATTATTGATTAAATTTAATTTTTGGAAATTTAAAAAATTTCTTTTAATTTTATAACTTATTATGCAAACCCAAGTTCAAATGCCATCCCCACCAAATGCTAGCTCTTCTGTGACCTTGGACATGTGACTTATACCAAGCTTTAGATTTCCCATCAGTAAAATGGGAATTCTACTTTTAACCTGTGGCTCTTTCCTTAAATCTAGACTTGCACTGTCCAATATGGTAGCCACTCACCACATGTGGTACTGAGCATTTGAAATGTAACTAGTTTAAACTGAAATGTAAATGGAAATACTCATCTGATTATAAAAATTTAGAACCCCCAAAAGAATCTAAAGCAGATAATTAATTTTTTATATTTAATGTATGTCAAATTATAATATTTATATACATAACATTAAATAAAATGTATTATCAAAATTAATTTCACCTACTTTTTACCCCTTTCATGTGGCTACTAGAAAATTTAAAATTACATAATATGGCTCATGTTGTATTTCTATCGGATGGTATTTCTTTAGACTTTGCTATCTATTATCATGTCAAGAGTAAATCAGAATTCAGTTTTCTAAAAATATTTTGTACTTTCCATATAGAATGTTGTCAGTATATATCATTTCCCCCTTCTTTGTGCTCTAAGAAGAATTTGTCACCTAGAACAAGGTAGATATTATTATGACATTTTGCCTTTTATCAGGACATAAATAGGATTAATGTAAAAATAACACAAAATACAGGAGAAGGAAGGGCAAAGAGCATGTCTAGATCTGGGTAGAGGTGGGAGGCAGAGATGGATTTCTGATGGAGGTAACGAAGTTTAAGTTTAAGTTTTAGTGGTCTTCACTTGTATGGGTTTCTTCCAAGGCCCTAAGAGGATGTTAGTAATGTATTTACAGGGTCTTACGTTTTGTAGCTCTTGAAATAGAAAGATATTTTAGCCACAACCAGTGAAAACATCTGACTCTCTCCACCTTGACTTTCCTTTCATCTTACCCCATCTTGTGTCAAATGGCATTAGGGTGATCACAGGCAATTTTGGGATCTGCCTAAAAAAGATTGATTTTGGGACACTTTGAATTTGGGTTTATAGTAGGGTATATTTATGTGGTTTGTGAATAATGAAGTTGCTCTGGTTGTTTCATTTCAGAAATGGCTTTTGAGAATACTCCTACACCCCTGCCCCCAGTGACTCCACCCATCAAATGTTGAGACACCAAAGTGAAAGGCAAGAGTTGGTATTGAAATATGAACTTGTCTTGTGGTGCTGGGAAGCAGATATATGTGGTAATGGGAGAGGAAAAGGCTCTGTATAATGTTTAAAGCCAGAAGCTGGTCTGTGGAAAATTCTACGAATCAGAGAGTAAAGTTACAAGCAGAGGTTTCAGTTTTCATTGGTGCCTTGTTTAGAGGGAAGATCTCTTCTGCCAGGAATATGTTTGATATTGCAGTGCATACAATTATACATTTACTATAGTTTTTTTCTTTTTTTGGTGGGAATTGAATGAAATAGACTGTATCATAATTACTTTGTACAGTACAGACTGTAGAGGTACAGTAAGAATGAGAAGGCCTGTGTGTGAAGTCACACACGTGTGACAGATCACCATGTACTTTCAGTACATTTCTAGGGAGAAGATTTAAAAAAATGGATGCGACATTGCTCAAAGTTGTTCTCAAAGTGTGGTGAGGATTTTTGGGGGTCCCTGATATCATTTTGGTACATCAGTGTGTTAAACTACTCTTATAATAATATAAAGATCATATGTTGTCTTTTCATTCTCATTTCTCAAGAGCACACAGTGGAATTTTCCAGCAGCTACACATGTCATATTGTGACAGGTACAGATTGAATGCAGAAGCAGATATGAGAACCCTATCTTTTATTAAGTCAGACATGAGAGAGATTTCAAAGATAAATCCATTCTTCTCGCTAAATTTTGTTAATTAAATTAAGCATTCTCATTAAATTTTATAAAACAGTATTTTATGTAAAAATATGTTATTTGTATCAACATGTAATTTATTTATTATTGATACCTTTAAATGAATGAATAACTAAACATTTTAATTTTTTATTCTTAATTTCTACCATCAAAAATGTTTTCAATGATTAATACCTGATAATTCCATTAGATCCTCATTTAATTTTGTTGAAAGCTAAGAACGAGAAACTACTGAGTTGCAAAAGTTCATTTTCATTCTCAACACCAACACCAATATTTGAAATTCTTCATTTGTTTTGTGTCTTGGAGGTTTTCTATGAGCAATTTTCCACAGTGAGCTCTGTGGTAGGTGAGACATAGGCCTTTTTTTGGTAATGTTGGAAAAGAGGCTCGTAAGGAAAGAAGGGGAGAAGAAAGAGGAGACATATTCTTGGGCAGGGTCAGTCTTTGGAAAGTGGGTTAGGGTTGGAAAGTACACATGTGGTGATTAAGAATGGAGATTGTGTCCTCAAAACCATCTGTTTACCTGTAGTTCTTGGAAAGTCTTCAGGTTCCCCAAGGAGTAGCATGCTCCAGAAAGACACCTGGTCTAGATGGTTTAGCTGGTAATCATACACCTAACCTAATAATTAAAACACACCGAGGAAGGGTGGGGCTGGAAGGACAGGTAGTTTCAGTTGGTTGGAATGTTACTGAAAGTCAATAAAATGACTTTCTATAGTGGTGCGGAGTTTGCAGAGCACTTTCAAGCACTATCTACTTTGATAATTGTGTTAACCTATGGGGCATTTATAACAGGGTTTTTTGCTCCCATTTTATAGATGAGAAAAATGAGGCTCAGAGAGAATTTTTTTGATAAACGATCATCTAGGAAATTTTATTATTTTTAAAGATTTTATTTATTTATTTGTCAGAGAGAGAGTACAAGTAGGGGAGAGGCAGAAGGAGAGGGAGAAGCAGGTTCCCCGCTGAGCAGGGAGCCCGACATGGGGCTTGATCCCAGGGCCCTAGGAACATGACCTGAGCCGAAGGCAGACATTTAATTGACTGAGCCATCCAGGCGCCCCTAGGAAATCTTTTGATAGCACTTTTAATTAGTATCACACGAGACTAATGGAAAAATATTTTTGGAAAATTGAATCCTGATTTACTCTCATTTGGCCATGAAAACCTTGACAATTCATAAGGGTGTTATTCAGATTCTGCAAATCTGGAACACTGTGGCTAACAAATGTTTAACCATTAGGAAATCTTTAACTACCTGAAAAACTTAACATGGAATATATTTTGTGGGTGTATATTTGGATTTGTTCCATACTAATGGGGCTGAGTCAAATATAGTGAGGAATGTTATTAAACCTATCTACGTCTTTCCTTGGTGGGAGTTCTACTGGAGTTTGTGTCAGTACCTTCTACTCCCCCCCCCCAACTCTGAATGAACTGCAATTGTCTGAGCGATAAATTTAAATCAGATTAAATTCTTTTTAGACATGTGGAGCAAGAGAATCACCTCTGGTGATTATTTCATAGCATTTCTCACTTTTAGATATACCTAGATTAAGCATTACATGCCCAAATCACTAATTCTGTATATGAGCAACCTGAGGACAGGCAATATGATTTATAATTCTTTGTTTCCTCTTTGTATTTTAGATGTGCTTATAGAAAATTAAAGTTGTGGCTCTTATGGGAGAGAGTGGGTAATTAGTTGGTTGTGAGGAAATAGGAAATTATCCTTAGATTGCTGAATATCCACTTCATGACTGCAGTTCTCCATACTCCAAAGCAAGTCCTCCATTAGCATGATTTAAGTGTCCCAAGGGAATGCAGTTTCTGAAAGGGTCCACCGTTCTATGCCCAAAAGAAGAGAAAGGGTCAGTTTCAAAATACATTTAATATATATATCTTCCAGGTCCATGGTGGCATAGAGTTACATTTCAAAGACAAATTTATCCATTTAATTATTTTTTTTCAGAAGTCATTATTCTCTAGGAAGAGTATGTTTTCTGAAATTTCAAGAACATTAGGTAAACTAAGAGATTCTTCTGATACTCTCTAGTGTGTCTTCATCTATTCCATGATATGATCAGTGAAGAAGATTCGCATGTATCACCACATATGTGGTGACTTAGTTGAAAAAATTTGAAACAGCTTACTGAATTCCTGGAAGAAAATAAAATATTTTTAAGAAGTAGGTAAAAGCATATTGGATTTAAGCATTTTTACTTGAGATCAAATTTCTTTTCTGGAGCAAAAGTATCAATATCAAATCATTCTTTTGTTATTTCCAAGGACATTTGATTCTAGACATCCCTGCATGTTAAATGATTATCTCTGCATTTTGGTGCTTAAAGAGTTTAGTTTTGCAACATTTCATAAGTCCCATCTCAAGAGAATGGCACGCGTGCTCACCTACGTGCTAACTCCCATCTATGACTAGTGGCTGCAACACTATGTTAAGAAGGTGTTGCTGATCATCCATGATCAGTGAGTGGATGAGAGTATGATAATTGATTAATTGTGTCTGCTGTGGGCCTGTATATGTTTGGGGGTCAGAGGAAGATGAGGAAGGCAGAGCACAGTCTGTTTTCAAAGACTTCCAGATCCAACTTAAGATAGAAAATATGTTATGCCAGCAATTAAATGTCTCCTTCCTGGGTTGATAAGGTAGGATTGGTGGCCCAGTAAAAATATTCCCTCACATTGCAGGAATCAATTGTGAATGTTAGGTAAAGGGGATCCTTGATTTTATTAGGATCTGTATTGGTCAAGGCAAGACAAAGAACTCTGTTTCCACTCTGCAGATGACTTTCCTGAGGCATTTTCCTGGCTCAGAGAATTTACCATTTGGAGGCCCAGTGGAGGTTTCCTGGGTGGTGTGCATGCCCCTTTGGATGCCTGCAGGGGCGGTCACACCAAAGTCATCGTCTGTGTCGCTGGGAGTTGGGGAGAAGCCCTCTGGAGTTCCCTGGATGGCAGGATTCACTCCTGCTTGCCCTGCAGGGAGGATTCCATTCCGGGCATCTGGATTAGCTGGACTGGGGGGCAGGATGGCTCCCGGGAGCAGTGGCTGAAAAATGAGGCCTGTGAAGATTTGTGGGGCCACCGGCTGGAAGGAGAAAAGGAAAAGGCAAACAAAGTCAAAAGGACACATTTGAATGCTGGTCAATCAGCCTCTCCTCCTTTGAGGGCAGCAACTTGGGGCAGGAATGGCAGGATGGAAAGGGCAGAGTCAGAGAAAATAATAAAGACTGGGCATTCCTCAGGAGAAATGCCTCCCTCTTCTGAGCAAGCCTGATGCTAGTTTCATGACTACAATTCGATGCTGTATTTTATTTCCCTCAGAAAGGGTAAGTCACAATCATGGGAGAAGGAATAATGAATAATTTGTTCATCTTATGTGTATTTGGAGGTAGAACAAAGGCAGGAAATCCATACAATTATGCTGGGCTCTCTCTCTGCTATTGACCTAAATTATAGTCTCTCATTTGCCCAGAATTTTTTAAAGTAATTAAAGAGACTAAAAATTAATGGAAAAATTAGTCAATCAACCTTCATCTCATGATTTGCATCTCTTCAAGTTTCTTTTTATTTATTTTTTTTGAAGGCATTGGAATATTCAGTCAGAAATACTTCTCTTGTCAATTCAGCAACTTGTATATTCCTTGAGGTTACTCAATGAACTTCTCTGTGTAGGTCTGTCAATGATTTGCATACTGGAAATAAATGTTGTTGCTGCCTACGTTTATTTTTTTTTTCTGGAAAAAACTACTGTAAGAAGTTCCTCTTAAGAAGAAATAATTTAGTATAAACTGGATTTGGAGAAAGTTCAGACAGGGACTTGTTCTCTGAAACCCCTCAGTTCTCATGATGTTGACATAGAATAAAAAGGGTTGAGGGCTCATAATTAAGATACAAGTCAGTTTCTTTGAGCATAGTTCCTAATTGTTAGTTTGTATAAAACCGCCTGAGAAGTTTGTTTAAAAGGTAATTCCCAGGCTCCACTGTTGGAGAGATTCTGATTGAGCTGATCTAGGGCAGGATCCAGAAATCTGCATTTTTTTATCAGCACCCTGAGTTGTCTCGATTTGGTGGTCCAAGACTGAAGTTTGGGAAACACTGTCTTAGATTTACCAGGTACCAAAGCCAGAATTAGACTTACGCCAGAAGAGAGACAGGAGTGGAATATAGATGTTTTCAAGCAAGGGGTCATGGTATTCATAGATTTGAAACAAAAAGGTGGTAATGCCCATCATTAAAAAATAAGACACAAAGAATAGACTGTAAATTACCAAGTTCATTCTGTACAGTAGGGTAAATACTATTTCATGAAGTGTGTGTGTGTGTGTGTGTGTGTGTGTGTGTGTGTGTGTTAGCTGCATGAAAAATACAGCTGTTACTTAAAAAAATTTGAAAACCACTGGTTTAGCAGATAGAAAAATGACTTTCGATTTGAATCTACTATTTCTTGACCTTGGGGCCTAAGTAGCTTAAGTTCTCTGAGCCTCAGTTTCGTTATCTGTAAAGCTGGGTTAAAAATCTGTGCTTTGTGATGGATACTAAGGAGGGCATGTGTTGTGATCAGCACTGGGTATTATATGCAACTAATGAATCATTGAACACTACATCAAAAACTAATGATGTACTATACAGTGGCTAACTGAACATAATAAAAAAAATAAAAAAGCCATCATTAAAGAGGAAAAAGTTATTTGTTTTGCTTAAAAAAAAATCTGTGCTTTGTGGGGTACCTGGCAGACTCAGTCCATAGAGCATGCAACTCTTGATCTTGGAGTCATGAGTTCAAGCCCCACGTTGGGCATAGTTTACTTAAAAGAAAATCTGTAGTTTGTAATTTGATGAGGATTAAGGGCAATGTATGTAAAAGATCTACCAAGATGCCTGTTACACAAAATTGGCTTAATAACTGGTAGATGTGGGTGTTCATGCACTATTGTTGCAAAACAGCCCCGTTGATTTTATTTGTGAACAATCTAGTGAATCTCTACCTTTTTCATAATAGAAAGATTTAAAAGAAAACCTGTCTTCCAAGATATTGCCTCGACTCTTAACTTCAGCATCATGTTTAGATACCACATTAATTCAAGTCATTGTTTCCTAAAAGTGACTCATGGGGCAATTTATAGAAGTGTCTAAAGATGAATTTTATTTAGGTTCAGCCCTCTAGTTATTCATGTGTACAGGGAAGAGTCCATGCATCACTGTAAGATGCTAGAAAAATAACATTTTCCTATAAAAATTAAAAATTTAAGCCAAGAAAATTAATCTTTCCTGCAACAAATACCAGTATGTATATTATTCTATATTGAATGCTTTTTAATAATTTATAATCCTAGATTTTAATCATATAAAGTTTAAAAATATGCATTGAATTTCTGGATAGAACTGAATCTAATATCAATATATGAGAAAAAAAAGCTAAGTAAAATTAATGGAAAAGTAGCTGGAGAAGAAGAGTGAAATCCTCAGCTAGACAAAAGTATCTTGATGCAAGGATCTATAAAAAATGTTCAGTTTACAGTAGTATGCACCAGGTTTAGGGGTTGTGGTCAAGAGAGATTGTGTGGGGACAGAAAGCAGGACTATGATAGCAGTGAGAAGACTTTGAAATGCTAGTAATTATTATTTTTTTTTACCAATTCCTCTGAGCTAAGGATAGCACCCTAAAAGGAAAATAATAACACGTTATTAGACAAATTTTAATATATAGAGACAAGATATATATAACATAATTTAAAAACTTAAAATACTTGTAAAATTTGTAAAGAGAGATTTTAAATTTTCGACAATATTTTAACTGCCTTTATGACTTGTTTCACATAATTTAAGTCAGCATGTGATATTGGACTGCTAATACCTAATATCTGAGTGATGTGAAGTCTTCTGCATTTTAAAAGTTATACATTTTTCTATTACTGAGTAATACATGCACATTGGAAGAAACCTGGAAAATGCAGAAAGCAACAAAGGAAAAAAATACCATTCCATCATACAGTTTGATGGATTTTCTTCCAGATGTTTTTCACACTTTTGTTTTTTACATAATGGAAGCTATTCATATAATTTATATAAGTCATTTATATAATTTGGGTCTTACTTTTTCTTCTAATATTACACCCACAATCATTTAAACTTACTAGTGACAAATACAAGTAAATGTACTTTTGGAATGGTTACAAAGTATTTGTTTTTACATTGCACCATCTACTCAATCTTATTTTCCTTTTGTTTAAATTTAAGTTGCACCTGATTTTTTCTCTACCACAAATATTATTATTTTGAGGAATGTATTTGTAAATAGACCTTTGCTATATTTCAGATTATTTCACTGGGATGTGTTCCCAGCTGTGGAATTAAGAATTGATACGGACTTTATATCTCATTCTGCTTCAGAAGTAAAAGCTACTACCTGATGCATGTCATATATGACCTTGACCCTTGGTAATTTTATCAATGACCTCAAGTATTACCTTTCGCAAAGGCAAATAGGGAGAGAGGAAAGTATTTGTATCATTTTTAGGGAAAAGATACATGGTTAATAAATAAATTTGAGATTAAAAAAGAAATCCCCCAAATCATTAATCATTAGATCAGTCCCATTAATTTATTTTTTTCTTAGCTGTATGCTTTAAAGGATTTACCCTTGACATTTACTAAGTGTGTGATTATAACTGAATAACTGTATCTCCAATTACTCCTCTTCAAATTATAAATAAAAATATTATCTTCAAAGGTTGCTTTGAATACTGAGATAGTATATAACAAATAATAAAATACCTAGAACAGTGCCTGGTGTGTAGTAAATGCTCAATAAGGGCCCACTCATAATTATCAGTGTTCATACAGTGCCAAGTAAATAGGAAACTTGGCAACTATCTGGTAAATTGAAGCAGGATGACATATTTCACACTATGATGATTTAAAATAAAAATCACATTACAAAATAATCTTACATGGGCTCCAAGGTGTGCTACAATAACTGGTAACATCTAAAAAGAGTGAAAAATTCAATTAAAATATATTCAAAGGTAAGTTCTAGCAGATGATACAAATACTGAGATTTTCTTAAAAGTATATAATATTCATTGAAGAAGTATTTCGTGTATCAGCTATAGTCATAGACAGAAACCCATACAGTTGCTTGGGAATTGGAACTCATCCAATTTGTAAAAAGCCGACTTAGACCCAGAGAGATTTAGAAACTTTAGTCCAAGGCAACACATTCAGGAGGTAGAAGTTACTGAATAGGATGGACAAAAAATAATTTTGGCCTCAAGCTATCTCCAAACTGAAAGTTATTACAAGTAATAATAATAGTAAAATGCATGTTTCTTTCATATGGCATCTCAGAAGACTCATTAAAGATGGATTTTTAAAACACAAAGTTTTATCAGAGCATATATATTTAGTCTCATAATGGTTACCTGGATATTTTGCTGTTAAAATAGAGCACTGGTAGAAAATTATGGATGATATTCTATCATTTTGATACTGGCAGAGTTCTTAGAAATAAGTGAGAAATAATTTACTGGTCACTGATAACCACTTAAATGTTATAAAGTTTTAGTTGAAAAGATTTGGGTGGGGTGTTGGCATGTGCTAGTACTCTAAGAACTAACCTAGAGTTTGTCCAAGAGAACTAGTGTTTTAAAGTTTATTTTTATTTCTATAGACATTCACATAGTGTCGTGAAAGTCATCAAAATGGGAATTCTAACACTAACCAACCCAAAAGATGTGAAAGTCTTATGAAACAGACTCTTAACTTTGTTATTTCCCAAGATAGTTTGTTCAGTAATACCCATAATGCCAAAAGGTACATACATTTAAGTATATATATTTAAGAAAAAAGCCTTACTGTCAGTCAGATCCTTGGCTACTGACAATAAAAAGAAGAAATTTTCAGAATGGTGATTGGAAAATAGGGTGAAGGGAAGGGGCATTCAGGATTTGGAAAAAAAGCATAACTGAGATTTCTTCTTTAAAGGCCATTTCGAAGGAACAAAAAGATACAAATAGGAAACCACAGATGTGTAAATAAAAAGTGTAATTAAAGATAATTTAGTTTTTCACCAATGTAACAGTAAGGAGAAAATTTTTTTATTAGTTTTTAGTAGAGAAGTTGTTTGAAATAAAAATAGCTAACACTGAGTGTTTACTGTGTGGTAGGCCCTGTTCTAAGTGTTTTTTGTTTATTTGCTCATTTAATCCTTATAACAGCCCTAGAGGTTGGTTCTACTTTAATCCCTATTTTAAATCATGAGGAAAATGAGCCACGGAGTGGTGAAGCAACTTGATCACACACATAGTAACCAGAGAGCTGGGATTTGACCAGAGTTTCGTGGTTCTAGAGTTTACCCTTAACCACCTTGGCCTTGCTTTGATAGATGAGAGCTGTGGACGGGTACCCAGGTTTCTGGCAGAGGATATAGGCCACTCTGCATAGGGAGACACAAGATTGGAGGGCTGGGGCTGCACAGGAGGTCAAAGAGGTGTTGGCATATCCTGGAGACATTGAAGAATCCCTACTGAGAATGGGGATTGATTTACATTAGTGCATACTGGGGAGCGTGCAATATCAAACTCTCTCTGCTCAAACTTCATTGACTTCTATAGTGCCTACTAATGCCTTTGACTCCAGTGGATATTCTTTTTTTTTTTTTTAAGATTTTATTTATTCACTTGAGAGAGAGAGAGAGAGAGAGCACATGCAGGGGGAGAGGCAGAGGGAGAGGGAGAAGCAGACCCCCTGCTGAGCTGGGAGCCTGACATGGGGCTCGATCCCAGGACCTGGAGTTCATGACCTGAGCCGAAAGCATATGCTTAACCATCTGAGCCACTCAGGTGCACCATCTTTCTCTTTCTTTCTTTCTTTCTTTTTTTTTTTTTAAGATTTTATCTATTTATTTGAGAGTGAGAGAGAGTGAGAGAGAGAGCACGAGTGGGGTGAGGAGCTGAGGGAGAAGCAGACTCCCCACTGAGCAGGGAGCTTGATGCAGGGATCCCAGGACTCTGGGATCATGACCTGAGCCAAAGACAGAGGCTTAACCAACTGAGCCACCAAGGCACCCTTCCAGTGGATATTCTTTGGTGAATATGAAGATGTACTAAATTGGGCTTCAAAGTTAGAGCAGGGCAACAATTGAAACTGAAGCTGGGAAGGTAGCATATGGATTATATCAGGGTCATGTGTTAAAGAAATTCTCATTTTATTTGCCTGTATCTCTAGTCTTTTTCAGAGGATTACTTTTATTAGTAAGATATAAATAAGCAGCAAATACTTGGAGTGAAGGCTCTAATATATCTGTAAAAAATAAACACTGACTGATAGACAATTAAGTATACATCTCAATATTAAAAAATGTAAAAATAAGTTATGTCACAGAATTTCATAAATATGGATAAATGAAGCAGTAGAGGGTTTCTTGTGTTGTTATTTTGGACAAATGAAAGTACAGAGAAAAGTATTAGTTGCATATGATATAGAATTTAAACTGAGCAGCTTCAAATTGTTTTGTCAATTAAAGTCAACTTTGATTATAATTACTAAGACAAGCTTGCTCTTATTAAGACCTGGAGGTGTCCATGGTGGTAGGAAGATGGTAAGAATATATTGGTTCATTGCTGTATTTATGTTTCATAATTTTGGAATGTGTATTAAAAGTCTTACACTTTTGTATGCCTTTGGACCCTGTTCCTAAGAACTGGTCCTAAGGAAATAATCATTGATATGGTCAAAGACTTAGTTAAAGGATGTTCACTGTAATAGTGTTTACAGAAGCAAAAATTTTGATTAAAAAACCCCAATTTTTGCAATATGATAGAATACTAAGCAATCAATAGAAACAATTTTATAGGTGAATATTTCAAAATACAAAGACCATTCAAAATACATTAAGTGAAAAAATTAGATTATAGAACATTAGACATAGTAAGAACATATTTTCTTTAAAAAATATACTTACATGTGTAGGTAGAAAAAGGACTGGAAGGACATACCCTAGAATGCTGACCATGTTTAGTTCTGGGGGGGTAGGGTTATGGGTGAGTTTTATGTTTCTTTTTGCTTTTCTATATTTTCTTAATTCTCTATAATTAACACACAATACATGTAATACATAAAACAGCTTCTACAAAAAATTAGACCTTATGTGGGAATGATAGGGGCTGAGTTCATGTGTTAGAGGGAATAAGTGATCTATAAACAACTTAGTCTAGCTGTAAAGAGATCATTGTGCTTTTCTCCAAGTCATTAAGCTATTCAGAGAACTTTCAAGAAGGTAAAACTTGAGCTTTGTCTGTAGTTAAGATGCAACACTTCTGATCTGAGTGATGCCCTACGCATATCATTTAAATCCTAGTGGGAGAGGGTTTTTCGGGGTTTTTCCTGAAAGCACGTAATGATGGGAAGGGAGAAGGAACTAGAGAGTTGTTGGGGACTTGAGAGGAGGCACGAAGCAAGTGCACAGAAAAGGAGATTAGATTTGCTGGAAATAAACTTTATCCATCTCTCAATTTTTTCTTTGGGATGATTCTGGTCACCCAGAAAGTCTTCTATAGAAAATAGCAAGGTAGAAAAGAATCCTGCTACCTCTCGATTTCCCCCCTTATATTCTTTACTTTTTAATCTTCCCCAGCACCTCACATTTTCCTATTACCTGCTACAAATGTACTCTAGAGAGGTTATGGGGTGGCATGTTCAGTTTTCTTGGTGAGTTTTCATCAAGGACCAAATTACCAAAGATGCTCTATGTTCAGTTGAACATTCCTCTGTAAATTTCTGGGTAAGACTTTTTTTTAAAGATTTATTTATTTATTTTAGAGAGAGAGAGAGAGAGAGAGAGAGAGAAGGGGGGGAGTGGCAGAGGGAGAGGGAGAGAATCCCAGTAGACTCCCTGCTGAGCATGAAGTCATATGTGGGCTCCATGCCAGGACCCCCAAAACATGACCTGAACAGAAACCAAGAGTCTGACATTCAACCCACTGAGCCACTCAGGTCCCCTTCTATGTAAAACTTTTAAGAACCTTAAAAAAGTTCTTTCCTTCCCTTTAGGCTTCTACTTGATAGAAAATGCTCCCCAATGTTGAACTGAACTCCCATCTTGAGCTTACTTGGGGTTGCAGCTGCTGTTGTGTGTTCAGTCCCCCCAAGTTCAGTGGAAGGGTCTGGGTACCAGGTGCCATCCCTGCAGCAGGATTTAGCTATAGGGCAACAAAAAAGATTGTCATTGTGTTGTTTCATGTTGAACATTCAAGAAACTAAAATGTGTTTACCAAATGTAAAATATCTTTAAAGGGAGGATTTTCTATGCAAATATAAACATTTGCTATGCACACATAAAAAAAAGTATGTGATATACTATTGCATTAAGAATTAGGTATAGAGATGAAGTTCAGGGACTTATTTAGTCTACTAGTACAACCATAAAGTCCAGGACTAACTTTTCCCATATGAACCTGTTCTTTTGAGGATTACTTGGATGATTTTATCCTCACTTTCCCATTTTGACTATAATAACTATGGTTCTTGAGATTTTTTTGATAGCTTTCTTATAAAGAAATTAATTTCTTCATAGGCTTCCCCATAAAAATGGTGAGGGTCACAATGAAATATCTAGTCTGAATACAGTCTAATACTATGTTTAAATCTGACTACCTTAATCAGGAAAGGAATTTATTATGTTTCTTCTCCCGAACAGAGTAAACTATACAGATAGTCCATGAGAAGAATGAAGATTTTTCTACCCCTTCTAGTTTGCTCCAGTTGGGGTGATGATAGTGGTCATAGTGTTTGTGTGGGTGTGTGGACATTGTAGGGGCAGTGAGGAAAATATGTTGGAGGAATGTGCAGAGGAGCTTGAAGAAGAAGTAAGAAGAACTAAAGCAGTTTAAGACATGAGAATTTGATTAATTCCCTTAGAAGCCCTTTTGTTAAGAAAAATTTTTATGATGTACTGAATAGATCCTATGCTCTGACTCTTATGTGTTCCCTTTCAACTTATCTACAATGAATATGTGTGTGTGTATTTGTGGATACACTCAACATTAGGTATTGTATTTAACAGTGGATATTAAAATGATATAAAAGAGTACTTACCAGCTGCAGATCTGACCCCAGTGCAAACATCTGTGTCAGTGGTATTAGACTTAAAGAGGGAAATACCTGTAGGGGCATTGAAATTGATGTGAGACCAGAGTTTGTCTGTTTCCACCATGCTGTCAGTGGCAGATACCCTTAAGTGTCTGTATTCTCGTCACAGGGGGATTTAGGATGATGGTAAATGGAATTGAAGTTTTGGGGCCTCTCACCAGCAATGACCCTTCTGTGGCCCCCAGTGGCATCCTAGCAATGTGTTGAGTTTAAAAATGTGTAATTGGCTCTTACTTCTTATCTCATAATAAATTATCCACAATGAGATACCACCTCACACCTGTCAGAAGAGCTAAAAGGAACAACCTAGGAAACAACAGATGTTGGTGAGGATGTTGAGAAAGGGGAACTTTCTTACACTGTTGGTAGGAATGCAAACTGGTACAGCCACCATGGAAAACAGTATGGAGGTTCCTCAAAAAGTTAAAAATAGAGCTACCCTATGACCCAGCAATTGCACTACTAGGTATTTACCCAAAGGATATAAACATAGTCATTTGATGGGGCACATGCACCCCAATGTTTATAACAGCAAAGTCCACAATAGCCAAACTATGGAAAGAGCCTAGATGTCCATCGACAGATGAACGGATAAAGAAGATGTGGTATATATACAATGGCATACTACTCAGCCATCAAAAAATGAAATCTTAAAACCATTTGTAACAACGTGGATGAAACTAGAGGGTATTATGTTAAATTAAATAAGTCAATTAGAGAAAGACAAATATCATATAACTTCACTTATATGTATAATTTAAAAAACAAAACAGATGAACATAGGGGAAGGGAGGAAAAAATAAAATAAGACTAAATCAGAGAGGGAGACAAACCATAAGAGACTCTTAAACTGAGAAACAAACTGAGGGTTGCTGGAGGGCAAGTGGGTAGGGGGGATGGGGGTAATTGGGTGATGGCCATAAAGGATGACGTAATGACACTGGGTGTTATATGCAACTGATGAATCACTAAACTCTACCTCTGAAACTAATAATATACCATATGTTAATTAATTGATTTTAAATAAAATAAAATAATAAATTATATACTTTAGTACTTAATTTTACGTATCTAAATTTGTCTTCCTTTTCTTAAACAGCATCCTCAAATTGTATAATCTTCAGGTTCCTTAAGGAGTGAGATGGGGTCCTGTCTTGAGTGCTCTCTAATGTCCGTAAACTAAAAAGAGAACTTTAGACTTTGGTGTTATTGTACTACTTCACAAACTCTAGATGTAGGTAAAGAGGGATCCTTTAGAGCAGAGCAAGTGATGGAGTGGGAAGAAGTGGGTAGCCAAGAGACAATACAGTTTTCAAAAGTTTTTACATAAACAAATTTTACAATAACATCAGCTCATCAGTAACAATGGAACTTAAGAAAATTATAAGGAAATCCAGTTATTTTTATAGAGATATCTTAAACCCTGCTAGCTCTGGCAGATACCACATGTGACTATGTCACAGTAGTGCAAGGGCATTGATGACCAAGCTTTGTCATTAGGTGTAGCTCTTGCTTTTCAGGTTTTACTATTGGTTGCTAAACCAAATTATTATTGAGACAAAAAGAAAAAGAATGAAGATGGCTTGCTTTTCCTGCTCAACATTTTCAAAAAGTGTTTTGGTTCTTTTTTGTTGTTCTTGTTCCCAAGAGAAAGTCTTTTTCCCTTGTTCAACCATAAGACTATGTAAATCTTGATTTTAAATTCACTAGTCTTCCCATGTTTCCTTTGTTGATCTGCAAATGTTCCCAATTGTAGGACTCTCACCTGATTTGGCTGCTGCTGGTTTAGTAGTGTTGCCTGATGTGGAGCCGGTTTTGTTGGAGGAAGTCCCAAAGCAAGGTTGAACTGCGTCTGTGATAACAAATATTAGATTAGGCAGGGATGGGTCTGAGGTTTTGTATCCATTTATTTCCAGGATGTAACAAGCTGTCCCAAATGCAGAAATGTCTGCCTTTAGGCTCTGTGTGTTTCTGGAGTAGTTTTAACTCCCTGGGAAGTTTCTTGTGCGACAGGAGATGGAATTGTAGAGTGGAAAAATGCCAGAGCAGAGGGGTGTGGTGGGGAGGGGTCTAGGGTGGGGCTGGACACATGGACCTCAGGTAGTAGTTCCTAGGATTCCTTCTCTTCTCTGTAACTGCCTTCCTCCTTTTTCAGGACATGAAATACATCATCTGCACCTTAGCTCTGTAAACATTTGCTTTTTTCCCCCATGCCTGAAGGTAAGTTGCCATAACTTCTACTGCATTTTCATGAAGCTTCCTGCTTCTGCCTTGTGCCTGACAGGTTATTTCCCGTAATGGAAATTCAATCTCCTTCCCAGCCTGGGTATTTTCCTAGTGTATTAAGAATAACTGAATTCTAGGGGTGAAATTGTCCTTGACATCCATATCATCTATCTAATTATCATTGATTCATTTTTTATGCCTTTATGATGATTCAATAAATTCACTTACAAATAATAAAAAATACCTTGTCCATGTGTCCTGAGTTTTCATTTATTAAATATCACTACTATACCTTGTAGACATGTCAGTGTCACACCCTGCATCCCCTGCTCCACTAACTCTCCAGCTGCTTTCACATCATTGGCTATTAGCAACCTGCTTTAACCTGTATGCCACTCCTCAGTCAACCTTGAATGATTGCTGTGTGCCCAGAAAGTTTTACTTATTTTGAGTTTTCACAAATTGTGTGGTAATTTAAATACACTAAAGACACCCTATTTAGAAGAAACTTTCGGTAAATTTGTTTGAAGTAAAAAAATCCATGTTTTACAAAAGAATTACTAATTTACCTTGTTTCAAAGATAAATTTTGGCAGACAACTTCTTTAAAGAAGGACATAAGTATATTTGGAGTGAAATAAGGAGATTGCTTCTATCCCCTCCCTATAAGATCACCCTGTTCATCTTCGTAGAACTAAGCATAGTTATAATTTATAATTTAACATTTCTTTAAAAAATCTTTATTGTATCTACAATCCTTGCAAACACCATGAAGAATCATGTCTTTTTCTTGCCCGCTCACCATTGTATTTTCAGCACTAGCATAGTATCTGGTACATAGAGATTTCAGTAAGTATTTGTTGATTGTATGGATGACTATAGATGTGTCAAGGGAGTTCAACTAAGAATGGTCTCTTTTTGTTCTTCTATTTCATAGAAAATTCCTTCTAATTTTTTCTCTATGTCAAATGTCATCTCAGATGGTCAAAGGGAAGTCCACTTAGAGAGGCAAACCACCCACATCTATGTCTATAAAATATTGGAGGACAATTGGAGTATGTATTCGAACACTAGTACTCCTTTCTTTCAAACATGTTATATGTGAACATAGTTTTCAATGTTCTAAGTAAAAAAGTTGGCCACTTTGTAATATCCTCTTGCTGTTGTGCACTTCGATCACCTTTTAAAGTTTATATAGTCATACAATTTGGTAGCATTTTTAGGGTTTACATAGTCTACATGTTTCATGCTTCCAGTTAGGAAAGTCAGAAAATGTAGTTTACCTCTTTAGTCATGAGAAAATAATCATTTGCCAAGAAAATCTTAAATTCTTCTTGGAAAGTAAAATAATTATCCACTTTGAGTAGATATAATTTAAGGCATTCCTTTTCCCCCCTAGTTTCTACCCCACTGTTCTGCCAAAATAATTGAAATTCTATCATGTTAGAGTGGATGCTTTTTAAAAATCTAAGTATGTTGAAATATGCACTGACACCTTATTAGTTTGTCATTTTTCACTTTGGAAAATAAAAACAGAAAACTAAGGGGATGGGTCACAGGACAGAGCAGTGTTGATGGAGTGCAGGAAGAAAGTTATGTCTACAAGCAGGGGGTGCTGCTGAGGCTGGTTGGTAATAAAATAAACATATTGCACTTACCGGTAATGACTGAGTTGATCCTAGAAGATAAAGTAGTAGAATCATAGTCTTCATGTCTCAAAATGCTACCTATAATAACAAAATAGTGTCACTCTTTCACTCTATTTTTTTCCCTTTCAGAGAAGATATTTTTTAAGAAGTTCTGTTTGAAATATGGCCAATTAATGTTACCTTTCTCTCCACTTGGCTAAATGTATGGGTGAAATGATATTCAAAGTCCGGTTGATTGCGCCAGTGTATGTAGTGAATAATTTTACCCTTTGATGAGTTGTAAGTTTGTAGAAGGAATTTAAACTCAATTCCAGGAGGCTGGCAACTGAGAGGCCAATCAGGACTTAGCTGTCTGTGAAATCATTTGGTTTCTTTCATTTCCCAACATTTCATTAGGTGAGTTATTAGCTGCAGACATCATATTACCCAATGTCTACCATTTGAATAGAGGGTATTTCAGGAAGACATACCCTGTGCAATTAAAAAAAAGGTGTAGACAATAAAAAAATTACAATCCTCTTTCACCTCCTCTCTTTCCCAAATGACTTCCCAGATGTATCTGTTTTGTCCTGTTTCCATGAACATATAAATCAAACATCAGAATGTACAGCTTTGTGTATAGTTAAAAAATTAGGCCTGTTATGTTTTGCTTTGCAACTTTATTTATTTGACAAATAATGGACAATTTCATGTGTCAGTACATATAGATTTATTTCATTTATTTATTTATTTAAAATTTTTTTTTAAGATTTATTTATTTATTTGAGAGAGAGAATGAGATAGAGAGAGAGCATGAGAGGGGGGAGGGTCCGAGGGAGAAGCAGACTCCCTGTTGAGCAGGGAGTCCAATGCGGGACTCGATCCCGGGACTCCAGGATCATGACCTGAGCCGAAGGCAGTCGCTTAACCAACTGAGCCACTCAGGCGCCCTATTTCATTTAATGGTTATGTTATATTACATAACATTTCTTTTTGCTGGACATTTCATCGATTTCCATTGTATTTTATAATGATAAAAGTGGAACAGTGAACATCCTTATAAAACTTGTCTCACAGATGTGCAGGGTATTTCTGTAGGTTTTATTCCTAGAAGTGCTGAATTAAAGAATATCCGTTTTAAATTTCAGTAGATAAGGCTGAATTGTCATCCAGAAATGTTGAATGGTATGTTTTATTTTAAACAAGGAAAAAGCTACTGAAACTTGAGCAAAACACAGGTGCCCACTGAGGTCTGTTTTACAACAAAAGAACAACTAAGTGCTCACTACAGGTTTTCAGGGTCCCAGGCTGCACCAGGAGTTTTTGAGATTTGCTACCTCCTTAACAATGTTTTTATGGAGCTTGGTTGGGTCTATTCAACAACTTCTGGGTGCAAATCAATGATGAATTTATGTCATGCCAGGATTTCACATGGAAGGCCACCGTAGATTTGGTTTGTTTTAGGGTCCAGAAAGTCTGTCAGTGGAAAATTGTCTGGGACAATGAGGTATTCCAAAGAGCTTTCCTTTAACTATTCCCTTCATGACACAGTCAATTTTTGTTATTGTCAGGTAGGAATGGGAATACTGTCTGGGAGGGGAAACACAAAGTTTAGCAAGTAGATGTTTGGTAAGTGGCAATGATAGAAGCACACATAAGTATGAAGGAGAGCATGGTTAATTTTGTTGGGGGCAGAAAAGCAGAAAAAGTTTCACAAGGAGGTGACCCTAAGCTGGGTTTTGAAGGATAAGAAAAAATTCATTAAGAAGGCAAGCAGAGCGTCTAGGCAGACCAAGCATCTAGGTATGGAGGGATGATGTTATTGTTAACACTGGAACAAAACGGAGCGAGGGTAAAAGTGGGGGATGGGGTTGGAGAGATACCTTATTTTAACCTTCTGTAGCATTTTGTTTGTTTCTATTACTCATGTTGGTACTTTATTAGACGTTATCTAACAGGATTCCTTCTTTATTTCCCAATTGTATACTTCTCTTGAATTGAATGGAGAGTCCTTAAGGCCTCGTCTTATATTTGTTTAGTGTCTTCTATGTTAATAACATTGCAAAGCACTAGATGGTCACCACATGTCAATGAATAAATGGTAGAGGTATATGCTATAGGGAATTGGAACAAGGTTGAGGTGAAAGAAAACTTCAGAGAAGAGATTGGGTTTTAAATGGATTTGAAGAATAAATATAATTGGTGAGACAGAGAATAACCTGGAAAGGGGGTGAGACTGAGAGGAGCAAAGGAACATAAATGCTAAAGGATGTGAAAGGGAAGCAACTTTATTTATGTTTTCACAGGCTTTCAATACCTTCATTCATTCCTTTATCTAGTCAACTCATTCTTCCAACTCATAATTCAGCATATATTCACTCTGTGTTCTGCTAGCATTGTTTCAGTCCTTGGAAATAAAAGTGAATGGAAGGGGCAAAAATCCCTACCCTCATGAGTTTACATTTCGGTGGCGGAAACATTAAATATTCAAGCAGCCTTATTGTGTAGAAACATTAAATATTCAAGCAGCCCACGTGATATTAGGGAATGCACTTTCCCTGGGCATTATTTTCAGTGAATGTGTAGGAGGTGGGGTTTCCTTAAATTATTTTTAATTTTTTTTTTGGTGGAGGCAGAGTTGAATTTTATGGCACTGTTGTTTCTGGAATTAGATGAGGAGACTCATGCTTTATCTCCAGCCTAGAATACAGGGCTAGTGAACAGCTCATTGGAACTGAATCACTGTTGACTGGGCATCAGGTGATTCAGGGAACTGACAGTGCATTCAGTTCCTATTGCAAACATGCCTCCAACCGCAAGTGGGAATGGGGTTTCCACGCCCTAGCTGGAAAACTGAGCAGTCAGTGAGATTTGACCAAAATAAACATGGGAAATTCAGAAGGCTGAGTAATTTCTTAGACAAGAAATTTTAAGTCTGAAAGCAGATAACTTACAATAATATAATTATGGAGTTGAGTGTCAAGAAATATGTACTATGAAAGAAGAAAAATCCTAAATCATTATAAAACAGAGACATCAGCAAAAACAATGAGGTCATTTATTTTTCTAAAACAACTTAGGATATCAGGATTCATTAAAGTGTTTTATGAGCTGAGATGACATCTTCTGGACTTGTAGGTCTAGACATTTCTTGATCTTTCTAATTGGTTTTAGTTTTATTTCTTTGGGTTATGGACCTCTTTGATAATCTGATTGAATCTATACACCATCTTCTCAGAAAAGTGCATTTTGTTCATGAACACAACATGTATCAGAAAACTTTAGAGGTTTCATGGGTCTCCTGATAGCTCAGGTTAAGAGTCTCTGGTTTATTTTTTATTTTATTATTAGTTTTTTAAGAGAGAGAGAGAGAGAGAGAGAGAGAGCATGAGCAGGGCAGGGGGAGGGGCAAAGGGAGAGGGAGAGACAGAATCTTAAGCAGGCTCCATGTCCAGCATGGAGCCCAATGCAGGGCTTGATCACATGACCCTGAGATCATGACCTGAGCTGAAATCAAGAGTCAGGCACTTAACTGACCGAGCCACTGAGGTGCCCCAAGAATCTCTGGTTTAGAGGAATCTTCGTGGACAGGTTTAGTGATTTATGTGATCCTTGAACTTTCTAGGTTTTCTCTAGTCAAGCAATGTACTATCTTCCCAACTCCATCACACCCAATGGATGTGGGAAGATCTGGAATTACCCAGACCCAAGATTCTCTTTGTGAATCCCAATCTAAGACCCTGTTTGGCAATGAAAGAATAAGACAAACTGGAAACCTCTCTCTCCTTCCACCACTTGAAAATTCAGCCACAGAGTTAAAAGGATTCAAGACACGTGATAGCTATTAACTATATTGATAGCTTGACTGAATAAATCAAATAAATGAATAAGTGGAAACTAGTCAGCATTCCCTGATGCATGGTAATTTCAATGATACCTATTAAACATAAACCTAAATTGTACTGGGCCAAGCATTGTACTAGATGCTAGGACACAAAAGTGATTAAGACAGAATCCCTGCTTGAATTCTTGTGGGAAATACAGCAAGTATCTGATTACTGTCCAATGTACAGGTGAAGTGGAAGTGTGCACTAGAGGTCAGAACACAGCCTTAGTGCATTTTCATCTTGTTTCTCTGCAGTTTTTCATGGTATTCCCTCTGTCTGGGGTCTCATTTTTCATCTCTGCTGTTGATGTCCTATTCATCCTTAAAGATCCTTCTTTATGCTATAATCCCCATTAAGTCTCCCTCTCTTCCCCTAATTTGGAGTCAACCTTTTCCTTTTCTGAAAACTTCTAGGAATTTGTGACTTATTTATTTTAGTCTACTTTGGCTGATGCTATTGCTATTTGTGCTTATGTTTTGAGGTCTTAGATTTCAAGTTAGATCTTGTCACTGTAGCATCCAGCGAAGTATCTTGCATGTGGTAGAACAATTAATATGAGTTGAATTGAATTAACACTTGCTTGACTTTGTCAATTTACAAAATTCTTTAAAAATGTTGACCAGTTTGTACTATCCCAGAGGAAATTAGGGCATATGTGTGGAAATCTGCAGAAGAGCCACTTTTTAATGGAATAGTTTTGTGAATGCCAGAAGGACAGCCACTAAATTAAGTATACTTAAAATTCTGCTAAATAGAATATAACTATATAAGTTTTTACTAATCTTTTGAAGTTCTGTTCAGATTTGGCATCGGAAGAATAGGTCCAGACTTCTTGGCAGAGTAAGTTGCCCTTGTCAGAGGTAATAAAGTTCAGGATGTAATGTCATTATAAATGTTGGGTATGTTATATCAAATTTCTATAGTCTATAAAGTTGAGCTTAATAGATTGTGGTAACATTGTACTCTGTTTATGTAAAAAAATTTCAACTTAACATTAAAAGTATGTACTTATGGATTAAAAAAAGTAAGCTTGATTGTAGATGATTTTCTAAAATGGAAAAGAATGTCCTGCAAATGGCAACAAATTGGGATGTTGAGGGGAGGGATAAGAGACACAGTACTAGTGTCATGGATTAAGTCATAATTTCAGTGTTTGGATGGTATGATGGTTTAGATAAGGTTCTGGGACAGTGTTGG